CGAGATACAACTATTTGAATATCTGGAATCTGAGGGTGCAAAAAAATCTATGTATTGAGAAAATCGCCTTTAAAGTTGTCCAAATGAAGTCCTTAGCAATGAATATTACTAATATATTAAGTTTTTATATATTTACGGTAGGAAATTTACAAAATATCTCCATGGAACATGATCTTTACTTAATATCCCAGGGCTCGAAATGAACTTTTTTACTTTGTAGCACTGGTGCTCTCAACTTCAAAAAGTTAGGAGCACCAGCAAAAATTTAGGAGCACTCACCAAAAATTGAGCATCTCAACTGCAAATGATATATTAACAGATGTTATCCTTACATTCTTTACTTTAATGCAGATTTTAGATTGGTTCATATTAGCTGTCAATCACTCAGTCACTGCTTTCCACTTACTACGGCGAGAAAAAGAATGGGCTGAAGATAGGGCTGTCGCGGTGAGGGAATTTCCCTTGCGGTAATTTTGAGTGGCTCAGTAGCGCGGTAAGCTGTGTTATCGCCATATATATATATATATATATATATACAGGTGCATCTCAATAAATTAGAATGTCGTGGAAAAGTTCATTTATTTCAGTAATTCAACTGAAATTGTGAAACTCGTGTATTAAATAAATTAAATGCACACAGACTGAATGGCCAGGACGTGTCCTGGGAAAATGGCACGTATGGTCACCCTATATTTGTGATTGTGATCGCTGAGGGGAGCTTCAAAGGTTTCTACGTGTTTTTGCAGCGTTGAGTAATGTATCACAGACCTATCTCATGAATCCTTTCATAAGCGAAGTGTAGACGGTGTAAATAAAAGATTCATTGTGCAATGTAGAGAGCGCCGTTGATTATAAATGTGAGATCGCAATGAGCTAAGATGAGTGACAGGTATTCTTCTTATTCTACTTGTTCTTATTCTATGGTTTTATCTAGAATTTTTAAAAAGCTTATAAAATATAATTTGTAAAAAATTTGACATAAAAGATGACATACTTTTAATAAAGATAAAAAAATGCCATTACAAAGGTAAAAACAAAATTCTACTGTAAATCACTTTAAGGAGTCAAATATCACCTCGTAATGGGAATGCTATTTTTTGATAAAATTTTGGTGCTCCTAAATTTTTGACTGTGCTCCTAAATTTTTTAAGTTAGGAGCACAAGCGCTCCTAAAAAGAAAAATAAGCGTAGAGCCCTGTATTTTGCGCATGTTTTGCGCAGCTTGTCGGTGAACAACGGCTCTGTGTAGTTAATGCTGCTCCATGTGAAAGCCCGCACGTGATGGAGATTTACCGCTGATTACAGAACCGGCTTTACTGACAAGATGCGCGTTAAATATCGCATGCGATTTATCGTGCAGCCCTAATATGTATGTATGTATGTATTTATGTATATAAACATTCAAAAATAAAACTTACCATTGACAGAAACAGTCAGCTCTACAGCCTTTTCTTTTGCATTTAACTCTTTATTACAAGCAATCCTGCGGTTCATAAAGAACTTTGTTTTCCTACCGCCACGAATGCGATCTATGATTGCCTTGTTTATCTAAAAGTGCTCTTTTCCTTTAAACCTAGCCAAAAAGCCATAGCCTATGTGTTGACTGTGAAACACAGTAGACTTTAATTATATGCATTTATGGTGTAATTACTACATTTTCGTGTCAATCCATGTTCATATTTACCGCAAACAATGTGCAGTCTTGTGTTTCACAAAAGCATCTGTGGTCGCAAGTTCCGTCGTTACCGAGAGATTTCAATGGAAGTAACGACCATTGTTGGCTAACGATGCTTTTGGCAAATGCACCCCTGATCGTCACTCTTAGTCATCTACTAAAAATACACAACTTCATTTTAATGAAAAATAACAAATGAAAAAATATATAATCATAATCTATGACAAAAATGCTATTATAAAATAGGTTAGTGGATAATTTAGCAGCAAACGTTATTCTAGAGAAATCATGAGTGCACAATTTTATAAAATCTAAACATTTAGTAAAATAACATTAGTGGGGAACAAATAAAAGTGAATAAGTGTAGGACTAAATCTGGTAAAATGCTACACATTGCTCTTTGTACTGTTGTAAAATACATTAATGAAAACAAGTAATTGTACTTGTATATAAATATATAGGCTACTATCAAATTAAAAGACATTTCTTTTAAATGTATAGCACAGTAATGTAGGCAGCAACATATGATAGGGGAGCGCGGGGCACAAAGTAACGCGGGGTTAGTTGTAACGCATGGTTTGAATATTTCCACACATGCTAGCATAACAAAATTTACAGTATTTATTTTGTTACCATATCAACATTACATAGAAAAAAAGTGCGCCAAAATTCAAAAATCTTTTGAAGATATCAATGAACATTTATTTTACCATAGTAAAATTAAAATTCTGGCTTTAGTAAATTTTTCATCTGTTTTTATCAATCATTTAAAATTAAACAAATCTGCTATTATTTTAATCGCCAATCTGTTATTTATCAGTTTAGATAGTGTTGTTGTTTTTTTTTGTTTTTTTTAATGCTTTGCTAACTAGCAGAACACAGCAACTGGTTTTAAACTCCAGTTGCACAGATGGGGCATGTTGTAACACTGCGTTACAATGTGCTATTCTATGACATTGAAATCAGATTATATTTAATTCTTAAACTCCATTATTTTATTTAAAAAATATATATATATTTTATTAACAAAATATTTTTGTTTGTCTTGTATATTTTTTTCATTCGATCAGATAACATTTTAAGCTTTTATATGGTCATGTTACAACGTGCCCCTCAGATGTTACAATGTACCCCACCTATGGGGCATGTTGTCACATTTCACTTCAATTTTTTGAGGGTAAATAAAGAAGAACGTATACACTGTAATCATGAAACAAAGCGACATATATGTACTAGACAAGTGTAAAATTACTGTGGATAAAAAAAAAATTATATTCTGAACCCCATGTGGATTTACACAAACTGAGAAAGTCAAAAAGTTTTACTTTGTGCCCCGCTCTCCCCTAGATAGGAGTCCTACTGTGCTATACATTAGATTATTAATAGCTTTTCTTGTCCTGTCCTATCATAGTACAGAAGAAGAAACGCTATAATGATCTTTAATTGTGCAAAAGTATCATAATACGAAAGGCTCCAATACAGAGTGGCACAAAGCGCTTATGCAAGTACTACTGAGTATCGGATCGATGCATCCCTAATCAAAAGGATATTTAGACAATGCTTAATTGGCAGCCAATGCAGTGTTGACAGAACCTAGGCTAATGTGGTCACACTTCTTTGTTCTCGTAAGAACTCTAGCTGCTGCATTTTGGACCAGCGGAGTTTAAGCTTGCAGGCCAATCACCCAGCAATGCATTATAATAGTCTAGCCTTGAGGTCATAAATACATGAATTAACTTTTCTGTTTTTGACTTTGAGAGAATAGAGATCTCATTAAATATTTAAAATATAACTGCCTTATTGCAATGTAATGTTGCACTTTTGTTTAGAAAATGTTGCTGTAACTTATTGCTGAAATTATTTGTATTTCAACAGATCGGTCTGTCCGAGCGCTCACCAGAGGACACGTGGAGGTCTGTATCTTTCTTTATTATGAACTTAAAGGATTTCCCCCCACCAATTTAGCAAAAAAAAAATATATGTATATATACAGGATACTGTATTTTAATGACTGTTTTGTAAAATCCAAATAAGCTTTACAGATCTTTATTAGGAAATGTTTGAACAATATTTTTCATGCTTGTTCAAAGAACCATAAACATTTCAGCACATGCACCTTAGGACTGGGCGATATGGCCTAAAATCAAAACCTCGATTAATTGAACACTTTACCTCGAGTACGATTACTGAACGATTATTTTATGTTTTATTTTTTATTTTATTTTTTTGCCCTCATACAGGGATGTTAACTTTTTTTTGCACATAGCACTGGTGCTACAGAGGTTGAAAGTTTTGTAGCACAGGCCAAACAGTTGTAGCAGAACTATAAAACGTCTGTTAACAAATGTCTGAAAACAAACAAGTTCTGAAAACAAGTAATGGAGTTCATCACTTAAACAGGCATTGATGTTCCATAGCACAAAAAATACAAACAATCACAAAAATTGTTTTTAGACTAAGTTTTTTTTTATTTGCTAAAAATGGAAGAGTGCAGAAACATAACACCTCTTACACCTCAACATTACACATCAAAGTAGAACAGATCTGTGGGCAGACATCACTAAATAAAAACTCTAACTAAAACACTAAATTTGCAAACTAACCTACTGTATACCGTGACACTCCTCTATGAGACTAATGCTCTCAACAGTTGTATCTTTTTTTTTTTTTTTTTTGTCTCCTGTCCCTTTTAGAACAGGTCATCCATTTAGCTGCTACACCATTTGGATTGAATTCCTCTAAACAGGCCTGTCATATTTCATTAAAGGTTTATGTAAATATACTCAACTATTAAAGGTGGGATTATTTTTTCTAATAAATATATCTTTATTTTAAAATAATTGAAGGAAACAAACTATTTATGGTTATTTGTTGAATATTTCGAACAGCTGAAATCCAAAGATTGCTTGAAATGAAAGACGTCTTATGAAAAAGTCACATTTTAGTTTTATTGTAAAAAGCAAGTTTACTAAAAAAATAGAAAACTTTAATTTTTTTGCAAACAAAATAAATTAATATTGCCATGACAAAAAAAGAAAATAACCAGCATCTCTTGCAAACAAAATACATTTTAAATACTGTCATGTGAAAAGTAGAAAATAATAACTTTTTCATGTTTTAAATAATGTAAATAAAACGAGAGAAAAAAGAGAAAGAGCAGGGCAGCATCTCAGTGATCTTGTCCTGTCACTCTATATGCATATTTACGCTAGGTTCTTACTGGCCATAATAGCCTTATTACAAACATACATATATATATATGTTTGTAATATGTTTGTGTAAGTAGTAATTGACGATGGGCCGTTGAATTATTAGAAAAATAATGCACACCCGATGTGGTGATGCGGCCACGACGCGAAGTGGAGGACTGAGCCATTGATAGCAGACTTATGCAACTATTAATGAAGTTATTAGAGAGAGAGAGAGAGAGAGAGAGAGAGAGAGAGAGAGAGATAGAAAGCGTGTGAATTACCTTTGTGAGTCTGTGTCTCTCAAAAGTGTTCAGCACCAGCGTCTCTACTAATAGTGAAACTGTTTATTTACTTCATGAACAGCACCGTTGTTACCTCGCTTGTGAGAAACGTCATGTAGCTTTTAAGTTGCTAAACTATTTTACTGATAAAACTGATAGTGCTAACAACATAAGTGTGTATGTATCTGTGTGTGCAAACTATCTGTGTGCATCAAGGGAGAGAGAGCAGGAGAAATGGAGTATGTGCTTTACGTACATAAAACATAATTTTGTGGCAAAAGATGGAAATAATCTTTCGTTTTTATCCTGTTGCTTACTATATTTATTTGTTTGGCCAGTGTCGTTGTGGGTTTTGGTTATCTTGCTGTTGTAAGCTGTAAGGACCTTTGAAATAACTGAAATCATTTGGTGAAGTGATATTTACATGTAATGCGGTCAAGACCTGCCTGGAACTACGTTCGCCGTGCGTTTCCCTGAAAATAATTGCACACCTTAGAACGTTGGAGTGCGGTGGTGTTTTAAGTAGAGCCCGACCGATATGGGTTTTTTTGGGGACCGATACCGATATTGGGGAGTAAAAAAGGCCGATGTCAATATATCGGCCAATGTTCTTTGTGTATATTATAGTACAGTACCAGTAGGGCTGCACGATGAATCGAAATGGAATCGAAATCGCGATTAGATAGAAGCTGCGATTGTCATGCGTATCTTTCAGTGAAGCACGGTTCTGTGATCAGCAGTAAATCTCCATCCAAAGGCCAGAGGGCGCTCTCGCGCTGAAACTCCAAATACACCTCGCAGAAGAAACCCAGGAAATGCCTATAGCGGTAGCTGGATAAACAGAAGATTTAACTGCTTTTATTGATTCAAAGTGACTAATAAACACACAATTATGACAATATATGGTTTATCGGAGTTATTATTTTAATTTTCATTCAAATAAAGTATATTTATAATGCAATGCCTTTATCACTGCTTAGAATACTATGAAATATGTTGCGTGCCTTATTCTGTGTAAGAAGCCACATCATCTCACAGAAGGATTTATTTCAAACACTCGACTGACGTTATGAAGTGAGTTTGGAGTAAAAAATATGTTATTAAATGTGGTATTTTCACATGCTTTCAGATGGAGCAGCATTTACTACACAGAGCAGTAGTTCACTGAGAAGCTACGCAAACAGCTTTCATAATCGCAGAACGATACCTTCGATTTGATAATCAAAAACATTAAATTCCAATTAATCTGTAAAATCGGAAAAATTGCCCGGCCCAAGTTTTTGTCCTCATTCTCGTGGTCTGACCTGTGATCTTTGTTCAGGCATTGAGGATCAGGTTAACTGGCATGGGAAGCCTATGCCTAAAGACCGTGCGGAAGAGCTGATTAATGACCTCCTGAGCCAGATCCAGTCACCCAATAAGCCCCTCCACCCTCAGCTGCCCAATGAGGATGTTGCTCTAGCTGACCTCACCCCCATCCGCCTGCTCACAGCTCCAGAATACAAGATAGGAGATAAGGTTATGAACTGCCATTGTTTTTAAATGGTTCTTTTCTTTGAGCAAATTCTTCTGAAGTTCCTCAAAAGAAGGATCTATAAAGCTTCTGCTTTTGTTTGCCCACTCAGATGTCCACCAGGAAGGCCTATGGTGTTGCCCTGAAGAAGATGGGGGATGCCAGCCCTCGTGTGGTGGCCATGGATGGTGACACCAAGAACTCAACCTTCTCTGAGATCTTCAAGAAGGCCCATCCTGATCGCTTTATTGAATGCTTCATTGCCGAGCAGAACATGGTGTGTAAATTGATGGGTTTTTTCTCCCCCTTTACAATGATAATTTTTAATTTACAAGACATGATGGCAAAGCAAATGTATATTGGCTGACAGTGTGTGTCATGTATGTCACAAATGAATGGACCTGTAAACTGTGCTTGTAGAGCACTTTGTGATGAGTTGAAGGTGTGGTGCACTATTCATACAGCGAATTGTAAATGCCTTACCTCACCCTGTTAAAATGTTATCTGTTACTATTCACTTTCTGACTAATATTTTTCACTGCCTTAAGTTCTTACTCAATAGGACATGAATTCCCACAGTGAGAAAGAATTCCTTTCTGCATAAACGTGGTTATTCTGAGGTCAATATAATCAAAGTATTTTATTAAAATATAACTTGCAGCAGTAATTAGCCAGGTTGTTGTATTAAGCTGTGTATTAAATATTTAATTGTTACTATAAATGTTTAAGTATTACAAATTAATATAAAATACACACTACTGTTAAAATGTTTGGGATCATTTTTTATATGCATACGTTATATTTTATCTAATAATGATGTTTTAAATGTATTTAATTCCCTTGCTATCCAGGTGAGTGTGGCCATTGGTTGTGCTACTCGTGATCGCACGGTTTCATTTGCCAGCACTTTTGCTGCCTTCTTTGCTCGTGCCTATGACCACATCCGTATGGCTGCGATCTCCCAGTCTAATGTCAACTTGGTTGGCTCACACTGTGGTGTTTCCATTGGTAAGGCTCTGTGCTGTGAAATGCATGGATTCTTTCCATTTTATCTGGTCTTAATTTATAGTCAAATCTCTTCTGAATCTGACATATTCAATCTGAAATATTTCTTTGAAATGTTTCTTAACTTCTAATTTTGTCCAGGTGAGGATGGCCCCTCGCAGATGGCACTGGAAGCAACTGTCATTATCGCGAACGATTTCATAATCACGCAATAATATCGTCTGCGAAAATTATTATTTTTTTTTTTTGCGTAACTTGTCAGTGAACTATAGCTCTGTGTAGTAAATGCTGCTCCATCTGAAAGCACGTGATTTACTGCTGATTACAGAACCGGCTTTACTAACAAAATGCACATGACAATCGCATTCGATTAATCGTGCAGCCCTAAGTACTAGTCAAAAGTTTGGACACTTTCCCATTGGTGTGTCCAAACTTTTGACTGGTACTATATATAGAATACAGTATATACATAAACAGAATATATATACATAAACACATTTTTTGCAATGATCACTCAAATGTGGTGATTAAACACTATTAATGACGTGACAAAGATATGTAATGGAGGCAGGGCATTTAATAATTTAACAAACTTTATCCAAAATGAGTCTGACATCAGTGCACTGAACAGTAAAGTTGAAGTTTATTCAACTTTATTTCAATTCAATTACATTCAACTTCATTCTGTTGAAGTTTATTTCACTTCCGAACATTCATTCATGGATTTGCGTTACTGTCTTCGCTAGGGCTGCACGATATATCGAAATTATCGAAATATCTCAAATGTAAATATCGCAATATGCATATCGCAAGGGCGTGCGATATCTTAATCATTTTAATAATAGGCTACTTAAACCAAAATGTTGCAAAAGGTCAAAGTTTTAGTTTGACGCATATAGCAGAGAATTGCTTGACGTTAAAAAGAGTTAAGTGCAATAAGTTGCAGAAAGCAACTCTTTGCCGTTTCGTCTTGCTGTCTGACTCGCACCTGAAGCGCGCACACAAGCCGCATCTCGCGCAGCGTCTCTTCAGTTCTGCCGCACACGTGCAAAGCGCACGCACACACACAGAGACGTGTTTCAGACGGCGCGTGAACACCGAGTTGATTTGTATTTTGCATCTCCTCATGTTTGAACAGACACATACACACAGAATTATGTCAATAGTACCCGTCTCGACGATCATTCTCGTAAACGCAGTCGGTTATGTTTTAAATGAATGTAAACAGCTGAGAAAGAAATCGGATGTGTATCATTATACTGGATCCGTGCAGTCGGATTTAAAGGGACAGCAGCCTATAAATACGCGCTGCTGAATATGTCACTAATGTTAACAAAACGGCTATAACAAAGATTAACCTAAATTAAATTCATACAGTGAACACTATGCAGTGTTATTTTACACTTAATTATTAAATTTCTGTACCTGAATACTACTGTTTATTTTATCTATGCTTGTAAATTGTGTATTTCTTTTTTACTGACCACACTTGCCTTTAATCATGTTTGAACTTTCTCAGACTATAGTTTTTGCTGTAGTATATGAAGAAGTACTTAAAGTGTATGGAAAGCAAAGTCACAATGATATAAAATTAGTGTCATTAATTTTTTTGTTTGTATGTTCACACTGATGTTAAAATGACATTTTCTGATTTGTGACATTACTTTTTATGTAATGCTAAAACACTGCTGGTCACTTTCAGAAGTTGTAGTGAATCTTTCTTTTCTAAGAAAGAATGTGAAACAAAATGGTTATATAATTTTCATTTTTAATTATTTTAAAATATAATTGAAATTGATTTTACACACTTTAAGCAATATCGTATCGCATATCGAATATCGCATTTTTTAACAAGGTATCGCATATCGCATTTTTCTTCAATATCGCACAGCCCTAGTCTTCGCACACAGACGAAACTTACTAGAGAAGTGTGAAGTGTGACATAATATGCCTCTCTAAATAAATACAATTTAAATTCACGTCTCGCGCACTTTAATGCCCTTTGAATGTAACGTGTACGTTCCCTTGGAACTGGAATCATGGCGGAATAATATCATGAAGTCCACTTCGCAGGGCACTCAGTCGAATAAAACAACGCTTGAATGCTGCTGCCTGAACAAGAGACCTCCTTATTGAAGTGAAAGTGTTGGCTGGTGTCACTATCTCGCGAACGTGGCGGCGGATCTCCACCAAATTCGGGGGATCCCTTCAGCTCGAGGAGCCCTTTCGAACGCCACCCTCCGTGCGTCGGTAGTCCCCCGGAATCGCCAGATCGGTCGGCGCCCGACCGCGAATTTAACTGCCCGTAACTCCCGGACCCCGGGGGCTGTAGCAAATTAGCTCAAAAGGGAAATATTTATAATTAATTATAACTGGTTATAATTAATAATAAATATTTAGATTAGATCTTAGAATTAACTGTAGCAGAATCAATATTACAATTATTTGAGCTGTCTGTCCACCGAGCAGACAATGTAATCATTTATCAATTCAAGGAAGGATTATTTTCCTGGCCAAGGAACAATAGCTTTCATACTTTATGCAGTACTAGCAGTAATTTAGCATGTAGCAAGATTCAACATTCAGTGACCCCGAATTGTGAGCAGCACACAGAGACAATCAATTGTGAATATAAGCGTTTTAATAAATGAAATTATAGCTAATGTACAACTAAACTAAGCAAAACGCATATATACAAATTACAGAATTAAGAAAAGTAAGGAAAGAGAGAGAAGAACAAAAGAATGGCAGTATTTCACATCAATTAACCACAACCTAATGAGAATCATCAAAGAATCAAAAATCACTTAAAAGGGGCTCAAACTTAAACACGCAGCTAAATGGTTGTAAACGGTTAGTTACATTTGTAACTGATTAATTATAGTCTAAATAAGGAAAAAGTCTGTGTGTGTGTTATGTGAGCATGGTGTAGTTTGCTGGTCAGCCAGGCCATTAGTGCCTGGCCCCGGGGGTCATTTACGTCTCTTTGGAATGTGTTTGAAGTTCGATGGGGAGACGAGAGTGGTGAAACTGTTTAGCATCTCCTTGATAGTGGGGGGAACCATTGGCAATTTAGCACCCATATAAATGTAGAATCTGGGGCCAGGACTGTAATTTATATGCAAATATCAAAAGGCTGAAAGGGTCTCTGTGTAAGTGTAACTGTGTGTTCACACCGCCGCCGTCGAGAGCGTCAAAAATCGCTCTGGCCGCCCTGCCAACAACGCTGTAGAAAGATTCGTGGACGCTCTGACGTAGATCGAATGCTTATCTTGTATTTAAAGGGGACGCAGAGCAAACAAGCTTGTTGATCTTGTGCAGACTGACCACAAAAGGAGGGTAACTTTATAAGTTAACCTCATTAAATATTGTTGTGGACGAAGTATTAAGATCCTTTACCTCAATGTATAAAGCACTAATACCACACTGTAAAAATACTCTGATACAAGTAAAAGTCCTGCATTGAAAATGTTACTTAAGTAAGTATAATCAGGAAAATTGATTTAA